TATTGAAGGAGATACATACTTGAAAAATATTACCGCTCTTTGTAAATGAAAATAAAGAAAACAAAAAACAAGAGTACACCTTGTAGCTATCTACCAAACAAATAAATAATAAGAAAAGGGACTTACATGATCAATCAGTTCACGAACCATTCCATTCCATTGTCCATTGGCATCATCTTGGGCTCCATATTTTCCATCTTCCACAAGTCTAATTTCATATGTAAAGCCAAGGATTGTAGATAATTCTCTGAGGAGATCAATGCAATAGCCCTCAAATCGATCATTACCATAAAGAGGTTTGTCAGACTTCTTGAACAGGACATAGGGTTCTTCCTGAAAACATCGAACAAAAACGAACGAGGTCAACAAGTTTATCTTGAAAGTTACTACTAGAATTGAACTTTTCCTCGAAGATAGAAAATTCTTATTAATGTAAGACAACCGTCAACTTTACTTTCTTCTAATTGTAATTAATATAATTCAGAATATTAATCAGGAAGATATTTAGATCATTTAAGAAATATCTGAATAGAATATTCAATATTTAAGGAAGGTTTGAATAAGGAATAAGAGAATATGTAGGTATAATAATCCCATCTTGACCATATAATGAAAATATGATTATAGTATATATCTCACAGCATTTATTTTATACCACAATTAATAATTAACAGATAACATGGTATATGCTATTGATATATAATACACAATACATAATACCTAATTTCACCATGATTATAAGATCACAATTCAAATTATACCATTTAATCAGTACCTGCTGTGCTACTTCAGTGGGATCTCTGGATGAAATAAATGAAAAAAATTATTGACTAATTACCTAGTAGGCAAGGCTAAGAGTTGGAATGAGACTGTTGGATATATGTATACATAGTGTGGCCATGAAGTTCATGTGCAATGTTAAATTGCACACTATTTTAAATTGCACATGAACTTCATGGCCACCCTGTATATCATCACATTTTGCCCTAACAACCATCATCACATTTTGCCTTACAACTACCGTATTTTACTATAGTAGAAAAATACTAGCTTACTTTAAAACACAGAGAAACAAACAGATATTTATCAAGTATTTATGGATTTATTCAACATCATTTTCTGGAGCAAGTACTGTAAGCCTGTCGTCTATATAAAAGAGAAATCTCTGACCCATGAAGTTCATAATATAGAGAGGGAAACAGATAATAAATGACTAAAGAAACAGAACACATCTCTCTAGGTGCTGAAAAGTGGTATAAAAACATAAAATAGGTCAGTAGGGTACAGCAAGGTACTTGGTAAGATAAGACGAAATTGAGTCATATATCTGGAAGTCTTTTCTGAGGAGAGGAGAGATAAGGTGGAATTCAAAAGATGAGAATGAGTTTAGCTGCTTGAAAATCTAAAAAAGAATATTTTAGGTCAAGGACACAGTGTGTTAAAAGCCCTAAGATCAATCTAACGTAGGAGTGTTCCAGGAAAAGGGCAACGGCAAATAGGGCAGCTGAAGTCACGCCCAAGTCAGGGAGTTCTTTAAACAACCTGAGAATGAAAAGAGTGAGGAGTCAAATTTCGTGAGGCTCTGAAAATCAAGCTGTATTTTTTGCAGTTTTTGGCTGGGGCTGGGTTTGAACCTACCACCTCTGGCATATGGGGCTGGTGCCCTACTCCTTAGAGCCACAGGCACCTTAAGCTGTATTTTTAAAAGGGTATATTTAACTAAGTGCAAAGAGAATCCACGTATTGGTGTATTTTATTAGGAGCATGGTTGAGTGTGTATCAATAAACCCAGGTGCAGTGGGTTCCCTGCCTACTATTTGATCATGGGATTAACCTTGGCTCTCTTAGAGGAAACTATTGTAGAATGAAAAAGCGTAGGGAGCTGTCGGGCCAGTACACCCAGGAATCTGATCACCCTCTTCCCCAACCCTGGAGACCAAAGGTTCCCCAAGAGGGACAGCGTCCCTACAGTCGGAGTTCTGTACATGACATCCATGTGTCTGCTGGTTCATACTCACCTCAGAAAGAATCAAGACGAATCTCATCTTTCTTCCTATCCCTGCTGACCTAACTTATCTCTATGCTGTTTCCCATACCCTCCAGCCTCACCTCCTGTTATCCCGATCCTCCTAAACACAGCAGAAGTCAAGTTTAGACATTAGCACACTGTCCTGTATCCTCCTCTAATTTTTAGAATGCCCATTTGACTTTCCTGCTTTCCTGGACTGTACCCTGAAGACACTGCTTAGCCTTTGCCCCCCTCTTTCTCAGAGATTATCTGCAGTGTTATCTCAGGGGTGGAGGCATATTGACTGTTTTCCCTCCCCCTCATTCCTACCCTCCCCCTGACTATATAGATGTTCCCTGCCTTATGTAGTAAATTCTGTTCCTCTGAGGTTCAGGCTCACCCCCTTGTACCAGACTTTCTATAATTGCTGCCATCTGATGAAATCTAATGCAGATTTATTAAGTAGGAAAGGAAGGCTTTTCTTTTTAAATATTTAATTACTGTATGGCAATTTTGCTTTCTTTTCCAACTCCTATCATCATTCTCTATATATTCAAAATCACCTCCATGAAGCATCCAACCTGGCCGATATTCTAATCCTTTTACTTCTCATTACCAAATTCTCCTTTTCACTGAAATATAGTCTGTCTTTCCCATGATCACAATTATTTTCTGCATCTGTCAAAAAAATAGCTACCTCTGTCTTAGAATTTAAAACAGGCTATTCATCAAATTCATTATTTAATAATATCTACACATAAACTCTTCAATCTCACTAAGAACCTTCAGGGAACTCACATTTTCCCACAAACTATCAACCCCTTCCTGATTTCACTTGATTATCTGGCCCATCCTCCGTGGTCCATTCTTATAATTTCTCAGTTAAATGTTGATGTTCCCCAATCCCCTTAAATTTTATCCCTAATTGATCTGACCCACACACATCAAATCCAACAGCACTTTTATGCTGACAACTTCAAAATTGATATATCTGACAAAGACTTCTCCTTGTAAGTCTTGGGCACCCATATCCAGCAGCAATTGTCAGCACAATTTTATCTATTGTAGACATCTCCCATTTAACATGTCCCAAGTGGAATTCTTGTTTTTCCCAAAATTTGTGCACCTTTTCAATTTCTAGCATTTTCTCTGCTTTCAGGAAATGGCACCATTATTCATGTAGTTACTCAAACCCATCACTGAGCCGCCATCGTCCTTGCTTCCCTTTCAGCGAGCTCATTCACTACAGAGCAATAAATAGTCTTACTGAAGCACACACTGAATTCTCTCTCTACTGCTTCAAATTGCCCAACAGATTTCCAATGCCTTTAGAATTGCATTCAAGGGCATTGGAAATGCCTTTGTTCAGTTGTCTGCAAGCTCACACTTCCTTTCCATGTGTGCTAAAACCTATTGTACCACCACTTGTTCTTATCCTGGTAAACGACAACTCAACAAATTAATCAAGCTATGAGACAAGGAATCACTCTCAAGTCCTCTGTCCTATCCTGTGGAAATCCTCTAAGTTCTTCTATTAAGACATATTCTGAATCCACTAAATTATTTACCATTGTGGTTCATGTAACCTTTATCTCCTACCTGGATTCCCACAATAACCCCCTACCTCTCAGTTCTTACACTACTATACCTTACAGCCCATTCTTTACAGAAAGACATAGTGGCCTCAAGATTTAGTCTGCTTTCATCATGCATCTGTTTAAAACTTAACAGTGGCTTATCATTAAAACTACAATAAGATGAAAACTGCTTACCATGGTCTTCAAGGTCTTTCATACTTTCCTCTCTGGCCTTAACTTTCCATTCCCTCCATCTCTCGTTATATTCCAGACACACTGGGCTTCTTTCGCTCCCTGAACATTTCCAAACTCATTTGTGACTCAACGTCTTTGCACTGCCTTTTTTTCTTTCTTTTTCTGACTAGAAGGATCTATTCTAAGATCTTTGTAGGGCTGTTTCTTTCTCATTATTTAAGTCTCTGCTCAAATATCACCTCTTTAGGGAAACCACACTATAGGGGGTCTGACAATTAAGTTTGCAAACTAATCCTAGAAAAAGTGCTATATACCTTCTTGCTGACTGTCACTTCAGTCACCAGGTGACCAACGTTAGGACTTCAAAGGTGACCATAGTGATGTGCAGCAAGGAGGTCTGTAGAACCTTTCCTAGGATGAGTCCCCAAACATAACTGTTTCACCTCCTTTATCAGCTTCCTTCCCCTTCTAAGTTACTGTCCATGGCTTTTCCCCTGCTTTGTTTCCTCATAGAACTTTCTCTATCTAAATATTTATTTTTTGTTTATTTATTTATTTTTAGAGATAAAGACTCAATGTTGCCCAGGCTGGTCTTGAAATCCTGGCCTCTAGGGATCCTCCCTCCTCAGCCTCTGCAGTAACTGGGATTATAGGCCTAAGCAACTACCCTGAGCAACCATGCCCAGCTATTTATATTTTAATGTGTGTGCATGCTGTGTGCGTGTGTGTTTCTTTCTCCTTCGATTATAATATAAACACATGAGTATGGCGCATTAGGAATTATGTTTATTAATTTATCTAAGTTCATAGAAAACTCACTGGTAATCCATTATTGCTCAAGAAACGTGTTAAATGAATAAAATATTCATCTTAAGGGCTTAGACTCTACCTATCCCTCTGCAGTCTCATTTTCTTAAAAGCTAGATAATTCCATTTTCCTTCAGTTCCTCAAATCCTAAGCTATTTTCTGTTTCAAAGCCCTCTTACATATTATTCGTTCGTTTGTTTTATAATGCGTTTAAAATGGTGAGCCGCCGTTCTTCTTTTAAGGCTCAAGTGAGATAAATGTAAAACTTTTCCTGAGGTCCTTAAATAAAAGAGAATCTTCTCTGGTATTCTCTCCCTCAACCCTTTATTTAGTTTCTCATGGTGCTCAATTCATCCTCAATTGTTTTATTTTTTGGCTTACTACTGGTTTTTTGATCGTCTTTCCTAGAGCGTAGCATCTGTCTGAAAGTATTATAGTGTCACGGTTGCTCAGGGTGGTTGCTCAGGTCTATAATACCCTAGAGTGTTTTTCCTCTTCTCTTACCACAGTCATCAGTACAGAAGACTTCTGTGACCAAATGTAGGAATTCCCCCCAAAACCCAACAGTGGACACCAGCTGGGTGCCCTGTAATTTAATTCCAACACTATCTGCCTGGAGATAGCATAAGGTCTCTCAGAGAGGGAGGGCTTAGTTCCCAAAACTGCTCCCCTCTTTT